GTTTGTCAATGTTCAGTTGTCCCTATATTGTCTCCACTTTCACAATTTTCTAATTTCATCCGTTTTTCACACTACAATTCGACAAGGTAATTCAAAAATGATAAATGTCCAAAATATGAAAAAAGTAATTAATTTCTGAGTAATTAAAAAGTAAATCAACGTTTTTTTTTTCGAGCAATAAAAATATGATTCGACAATTATTGATCCTTTTTTTTTTTGCTATTAATAATTTAATTCGATTCATCATTAATTGGACGGAGTACTTTTTCTTCTTTACAATTTGCATTTCCTTTTCATTTAATGAACATTTAAAAAACGCTCTCAGAAAAAAAAAAAAGAAAATTGGAACATCCAATAATGCTGTCATTTATATTTGATTTGAAACAATAAAAAAAAAGAGGAATGAAATCTGAAGAGCTCATTATCATTCATTATCATTCATTCATTTATTTTTACTGAATGATATTCAAATAATTATTCATACATGCATTGAAAATACTCATAAATAGCATAACATAAACGACTAACTCTTGAAATTATTTGTCAAAACTTGAAAAATTCCAGCGATAAGTTATTTTTCATGTAAACTAAAATCAATAAATGTTTAATAATAAGGAAAAAAAAATTCTACAAATATAATTAAATGATTGCATTATCAGTTCGTAAACATACATTAACTCATAAATCTAATCTATCTTTTTGTTCGACACTTTTTTTAGCTTCCACACAAAAATAATTAAATAATTATTAATATTGCATAAAAAAATAAAACTAATTAATTATGGAAAATTTTTGATGAAGCAGAAAGCAATAGCATTACAAGATTGTTTTGAAAAAAAATTACAAATGGTTAGGAATGAAATGTTCAGTTTAATAACGGACGGATTCATTTGGCAAAATCAAAACGGAACGAACAGAAAATGATAAAAAGAAAAGAAAAGAGAAAGCACGAGCAAGGAAAAAAAAAAAAAGCATTTGAATGCTAAACAACATTGATAAAAATTTTTTTTCCTTCCCTTTTAACCAAACTAAATTCAGCTTTTAACCAAACTGAATCATCTCATGCAACGAAATGAAACCAAACTCTAATTAATTAATCTTTATGTTTGCCTCCAATTAAATTAACACTTCTCATTTGCTAATGATGATTAAGCAATAGAAAATAATACTAATAATATGAGAGAGGGAGAGAGAAATGTAAATAAAAAGTATGAGATGGGAGAAATGTGAAATTTCTGCTTGCAATCAAATTCATGGAAATTGTTATAAATGTTACTGCAACAATTTATACAACGGAAATGGCACAGATCACATGATTTCAATTTTTTTTTTCTCTCTCTCTCTCTCTTTCTCTCTCTCTCTCTGCTATATTTCAAACTGAATTCAGATAGTGATATATAACTTCATCACGTAGACATGAAATATGAATGTATTGCGAATTATTCATTATTATTCAATCAAACCGAAATGATTATTTGATAAGTTTTATTGTACATCAATCATGCGGGAAATAATTATCACTATTTAATTAATGGAACAAATAATTGATTAGTTAAACTGTTTGAATGAATTTTAACTTTTGATAAAATGTACGAACTATACGAACTGTATTTGTCATACAATAAGATAATTGATGAAGGACATATATAATTATTCACATTTGATATTGTTGCTTATTGACTGCTTAATAACATATTGATTTTTTAATTATTATTTTTCTCGATAACATAACATAATGCGAGAGCAGAAGCAAAATTTTCGTAATAACTTAATTTTTTTTTTCAAAAAAAAAAAGTAGATGCTCGATGTAAATATAGCAATTATTTTTATTTCCATACGACTGTTCATATTATATTCTTAATTTAAAGCTTTTGAAAGCAAATATTTAGAATTTATTGAAATACTGCAGAAATAGATTGAGAAATGATATTTTTAATGTATTTTGCGAATTTCACTCATGCGGCAAAATTGTCAAGAATAGAGCAAAATTCCGGATCAGGCAACAAAAAATTTTAACACTTTTTGTGCAATCATTAACAACATAATCATTCAATATTTGCATAATTTATATTTAAGATTTCAGATATATTTGAAATGAATTTCAACAGAACCACGAAGACACAAAAGATCTTAATGAAATTATTTGCGTATAATATGGCTAGGAATGTAAAATTGCATTATAAATTTAAAAAAAGATCAAAAATCTTTCCATCACTTACAGTTATTCATTGATTGATAATCGGAAACAATAGTTGACTGTATATATTTCTTTAAAAAATTAGAAAATATGCCAATCTATAATCAATTTAATGAAAATACTAAATATTTTCAATTAAAAATAATCCTTCATAATATCACAATCATTATTCCTATTGATACAAACTTAATTCCATCCATTCTTTTTAATCAATTCCTTAATTTACTTCATTTTTTTTTTTTGCTACAAAAAAATGCTGTATTATTAGAATAATGTAATAATATTTTGTTGAAATTCGATTAAAATTTGAGAATTTTGATGAAATATTTATTTTATATTATTAATAAAAGATCAGTTTACATTTCCATCCTCTCAATATATCTGTATTCATTGTATAAAATTATACAAAATATTTTATCAATTTATCATGCAAAATATACCTCAATTACAAATCAATTCTTCATTTTACTTACATTCCCACAACAGCATTGCTATTTCTTTTCTTTCTTCAATAATTACATTTAATATAAATTTTTCAAATCTGTAATTGCAAATGTAACCACTAATAGAAAGGCTTACAAAAAAAAGAGAAAATTATAAAAAAGAAGAAAAAAAAATTGCAAAGTTTGACATAGTAGAAAAAAAAAATGAAAGAAATGATAGAAATGCACGGTTGAACAAACATTATAGGTTTAATGACAGATGTAATAAAAAAAAAAAAAAAAAAGTGACACATGTAATGACAAAATATTGCACAACAGTAATAAATATATTCAACAAACTGCAATGATTGTGTGAATTAATGATTATAATTTGTTAAACTGCCAATTAAAATTTAGCAAAAATTTAGTCAGTAATTTTGTTCTGTAAAGAATGAATAATAATTACTCATTCTTCAAAGTTATTCCATTCAGTGATGTGAATTTTGAATTTAAATTGCAATCGCATATTATTGTTTATTATATCCAACGATTTGTATTGAAGCTAATTTGTGATTTAACAGCGAGAATAACAGGTATGACGAAAACATACGTGGAACAGAAATAGAAAAAAAAAAAGCTGAACTGTTTCGATCTTCACATTTCAAATTCTGTACGATAATGACTGTCTGCCTTTAACATTAATCATTGTTTTCAAATAAAAAATAAATTGTGAAAAAAAAAAGAAAGTAGAAAAAAAGAAATTTTTAATGAGAATTTTCACCTTGCACTCTACTTTAAAATCGTCTAATTTTTTTTTTTTTCATAATTTCATCAATTCAATTTTTAGTGAATGCGAATCATTTTACGGACAATACTTCGCCAGTGAAGAAATGCTTTTCCGGATTAGCTCTCAAGCATTGTTGAATACAATTTCGAACATTAACAGAAATTTTATTCCATTTCTGGGGAAAAAAGTAAATCTGAAAAAAAAATTTTTTGTTCATTAAAATTTTTATCACGTGGAAAATTTACTCCAATTATATGAATTATTCAATTATTTAGTACCATTCCAGAATTTTTGATGCTCGTAGAATATCAAATAAACAATTTATGATATCAACCGCTATTCATTAATTAATTTTTAGATTACAGCTGTATCATCACATTGTTTAACTAATTCAGTACACCAAAAAATTTTCGAAAATTGAGATGTATTTTTGAAAATTTTTATTTCATCAATATTTGTC